ATGCAAAACCAAACAACAAACACCTGAATTAATAAAAAGATACTTCTCCGTTCAAACCCAAATATAAATTAATCAAATGCATCCTCATGGCTGGATTTCTCCCGTACTCCTCTGTTCTTTCAATTCGCCATTCACACCATAACTTGCATTATCCATATCATTATCATCCATGGCTACTTCTCTCTCTCCAATTTCCACTCCTTCCTTTTCCTCTCAAACCCACCTCCCTCACAGCCGAAACTTCCATCTTCCTATCTCTCTCCCATCATCTTCACAGGCCCAAAAGCCCAAAAAGGGATTGGTTTCAATGGCACGCCAAGATTCTTCGTCACCTTCGTCTCTGTCTGCAAACTGCCATCTGTATATGCCCATTTCTCACATACACAAACACCCTTTTTTCAGATTGATGTACAATGTACAGGTGATTATGGGACCACAAATTGGAGTAGAGACTGTTGGACAGGTTCAGGAGAGAGGTCGTGAAAGCTTGGGTTATTCACGACCATGAGAGGAGGAGTTCTTCGAGAACAAGCAGGACGAGAACAAGAGGAACTCCCCCAAGGCTGCTAAGCATATCAACCAAAACACCCCCAGTTTAAATATTTTGCAGAAGAATTGCAAGAGGAACTCCCACAAGGCTGCTAAGCATAATCAACCAAAACACCCCCAGTTTAGATATTTGCAGAAGAATTGCAAGATTGTCTTCCTTTCCCTGTCTCACTGTCACTCTCCTCTTGGCCATGGCCCCAAGTCTTTCCCTTTAATTTTGTGTTCCCAAACAAGAATAAAGTGTTTATGTTTTTTCTATTTAAAGTTCAACAAAGTCAGTGCTTACGAAACAAATTTAAAAATTCGGGGATTATAATGAAAAAAATTTTTGATACTAAATTGTAACATTGACCAACATTCAAAAACTAAATTGGATAATTTTCCTAATAATAGCAACAGTAGTAATAAAAGAGAATAAGGGATGATGTGCATATAATAATTAGGATGTCCCATAAAATGCCTATGGCTTGAGCTGCTAAATGCATCGTCACTCACTGGTTTAACTAGTGGAGGGAGGAGAATCTGGCTGATTTTCTGGTGCTGCATCTTGAAATGCCTGTAGCTCACTGTACGCATCATGCAACTTTGCTAGAATAGGAAATGGGCCCTGAACCAGCAAGTATATGGGAACTACCAGTCAGCCAAAGTTCTAAAAGACAAAGCTGTGGGATGCAAGACCAAAGGTGAGAAACAACTATATGAGTAATCAAAAACAAAGATAAGGACTTCAAAATGTATCCATTGTGAACAAAGTAGAACATCCTAGCAGAAGAAATATTCGTGTTAACAGGAAAACAACACACACATTCAACTATTGGCCAAGGTGCAGGAACACCAGAGAATATAACTGGACTTTGTCATTCTTACACATAGTTCTCAAGATCCACATGCTACTCCACTCCCTAAGCTGGATGTCCCTTTCTTTTTTATTTTAATTAAGATTATTTTCATGTCCATGTTATAACACATACAATGTATGGACATGGATGACCATGGTGGGCCCAGGGTTGAAGATTACCATATCCACGTTGAACCTTTTGATCGCTCCATCAAGCTGTGGAGCTAGAAACAGATCAGCCTGCAGCTCACAAGTAAATTGTTTAATATTTTCAGAGAAATTCATGATATCGAAGAAAAATCTCAGACAAGCTCTTCTAAAATAACATAAAGAAGGTAAGCTCCAGCATAAAATTGCACAACTGGAATTTCTAGCAGGTACAGCCTACTGCAACTCTTATAGTTGATAATATAAAAGAACGCAAAAAGTCTTACGAGGCTGAAGAGGGACCCACACATATCAACCAACGAATAGGCAAACAGCAAACAGTGAACCCTTTTGCTGTCTTTGGTTAGGTTTAGATGTCTTCTACTTCGGAACTTCCAATTTTTCAGTTATTTAAATAAGTAGGCTAATTAATAAGCCTAAAATCCTGGTGACTGAACAGGCTAATCAATAAAGCCTAATCCTATTGATTAGATGCTAGGTTTTAGCCTTTTAGGAAGAGATCAGCGGACTTTCCCTATTTATTTGCACCCAATTCAGTAACAAAGCCTAAAATATGATGGACGTCTATAACTCTCTTCTGATTACTTAACC